GGTTGCTCCCATTCACCATGATCGAGCTGGATCCGTCCACCGTGATCGTGCTGGATCCATCCACCATGATCGAGCTGGATCCGTCCACCATGACCGTGTTGGATCCGTCCACCACGATCCACGCCTAAGGGAGCTTGACGATGGATCGAGAAGTCGATGAATGACTTAAGGATCTGAAGGCACCCACACCGTTGGACATGGCCGCCAAGGCCTCCGCCGAAATGGTTGACTCGCCCTTCACTGATGAGGTATTGAAGGCACCAAAGTCAAGGAAATTCGTTATCCCACCCTTTGCATTGTTTGATGGTTCAACAGACCCAATGGATCATGTTTATCATTTTCAGTTGAAGATGGCCTTGCACAATGATGATGATGCCCTGATGTGTAGGGTGTTTCCGACGAGTTTGACCGGACCAGCTCTTAAGTGGTTCAAGCATTTACCGAGGGGATCCATTGGAGGCTTTTGCGGGTTATGTGAGGTGTTCATGACACAGTTTTTTGGCAATTAGCAAATCCAGAAGAGTGTGTCCAGCCTCTTCACAATGAGGCAGCATAAGGGAGAGAGGTTACAGGCTTTTCTCACCAGGTTTAACCTCGAGTTGAGCTTGGTCGAAGGATGTGATCAACGAACAGCAGTTGAGGCTTTCAAGCTGGCCTCAATTCCACGGTGTGTTGGTGTGCAAGACGCCAGAGAGTATGGGAGACATGGGACAGAAAGCACAAGGCTACATCCAGATGGAGGAAGAGGAGTCCATGTGAATGCATCAGGCCACTATGGTCACTGTGGAGAGCCGTTCACGTGATAAGATCAAAGGGCAAGGTACCGATCCAAGCACTATCACAGGCTCCATGGAGACCACCAAAATGCCAAAGGGAAGACGAGACCATCACACCACTCAAATCCTCCTTGGCCAAGCTTTATCAGGACAACAAGACCAAGTTCACACCACCACAGCCAATAAGGTAGCTGATCGAGTAGAGGGACTAATCTAAGCATTGTGCCTTTCATTGTGACTTTGGCCATCAGACCAATAAATGCAGGAATCTCAGAAGGCAGGTCGAGATGATGATAGCTAAGGGAGAATTCTCCAACTATGTGTTGACCAAGGGACAATTCAATCCCAGCCAAGCTCTAAGACCAAACGCACAAGGCAGAGTGTACAATAAGGGGAACCTTCAGGAAGTCCAACTAGTGAGAGTCATTAGCAGAAGAAATATAAAAAGGAGAGAATTGTGTAAAGGCTTGAATGAGATGAATCACTCATTCACGGCTCTAATATTAATAGATAAAAAGAGCACATGCTCATATTACAAGAAAGTAAACTAAATCAAATCACAACATATTCTATAGCATAATAAAATTTCTGCTAACATGGTAAGTCATTCTATAAATCGTGGCTATCATATATGCTAGCATATGCATAATCAAATCTTTGCTATTATGGTAAGTCATTCCGTAAATCGTGGCTATCATATATGCTAACACTCCCCTTTAAGTTGGTGTGTGGATATCTGAAACACCCAACTTGGACAATGCATTCTCAAACATAATCTTGCTGAAGCCCTTTGTAAAAATCTACAAGTTGCAGAGTGAAAATTTGACTAGCAATGATTTTATCTCAAATGAAGTGCCGATCAACAAATCAAAAATGTTTCTTTAGACCATAAACAATTAACAATGTCTCCTCAGACCATAAACAACCAACAATGTCTCCTCAGACCATAAACAACCAACAATGTCTCCTCAGAGCATTTCCCTTCACATATTTAAAACATGTAGATGGAAGAATCAACAATGTTTCCTCAGACCATTCCCCTTCATACATATGTTTAAACAATGTAGATGAAAGAATCAATAATGTCTCCTCAGACCATAAAAAAGAAACAACTATGTCTCCTCAGACCATTTCTAAATGCCAAACTCGCAATGCCCTCATTGAGGTCGGACCGCCCCGCCTACTCGACACCTCCCGGATGGCCATTAGACCATTCTCGAATGGGTGGTGCCGAACTCACAATGCCCTTCTTGCAGTCGGACCACCCTATACCAAGAAGAAATATAAAAAGAAGGAGAGAATTGTGTAAAGGCTTGAATGAGATGAATCACTCATTCGCAGCTCTAATATTTATTGATAAAAAGAGCACATACTCATATTACAAGAAAGGAAACTAAATCAAATTTAAATCAAATCACAGCATATTCTATAGCATAATCAAATCTCTGCTAATATGGTAAGTCATTCCATAAATTGTGGCTATTATATATGCTAACATATACATAATCAAATCTTTGCTATTATGGTAAGTCATTCCATAAATTGTGGCTATCATATATGCTAACATTAATACCATTCATGGACGTCCTAAAGGGGACTAGGAAATTGAAGAACTGCTCCGAACACGCCTGAGGCAAGCACAGAAGCTGAGGAGAGTGAACAATGTCAGCACCACAAGGCGAGTAGATCTGGACACCTAGATCAAGTTTGATGGATCAGACCTGCAAAGAGTACAGACTCCACATGAAGATCCCCTCGTCATCAGCCACATGGTCGCGGGTTGTTTGGTAAAGCGAGTTTTAATTGACCCTCCCCTTCCCCCGATCAGACTCTTGAGTAGGTGGAGGGATTGGAGATCTAGAAGTTGGGGCAGGTACAAGAGGAATATTCGGAACATTGGGGTTGTCCTTTTTCCTCCCGAAGGTTGGAAGTTGCATATTGTCTATATTGAATCCTCGAAGGGAGATGTTGTCGAGAGCATCTAAGGTCAGTACTGCAAAGGACGAAGGGATGCTACACTAAACCTTCTCTTTCAAAAAACGGAGCCTAGCCTTGCAAATGTCGTAACTTAAGTCATCATAAGGGATGCCTAGGGAATGGCAAAGGAAAGAGCAAAAGCGTGGAAGACAAATTTCACAAGGGCACTCGCTTTTATGTTTTTTATATTTAACATATAGGGGGACAGAACACTCGCCAAAGGCGGTCGGGATGGGAAAGTCCCTTGCCAGGCCCCTCTTACCCCTATAAGGCCTTTCTTCCAACCCTTCTCAGAGTCAGGTTTGTCCGTACAGATTGACCGTTTGGCAAGAGGGAAGAGATGATAATACATGTCCTCCTGCTTGATTTTACACATCCTATAGCATAGGAGAAGGTCAATAAGATCAAGGTCTATGTCTCTGTCATGATTCATGAACAGAAGAACCGATAAGTTACTAAAGAAATTGGGATTTACCTATAAAGGGCAAAGATTCAATTTATTGAACACAAGGGAAAAGAAGGGGTGAAGGGGGGACCTAATTAAATTTAGGTGAAAAAGAGAAAATAGGATCTCCCCTTCAAGGAGATCCTCACCAGTCCTCACATTCAGATTCCTAGGACAACGTCTAATGAGAACATCATTGGGGATTTCGTTTTTTTTCACGAATGGACTCTAATGTGTTCACCATGGCAGTGACAAAGGGAACACTCAAATAAAAACAAAAGAAAGAGCTTCCTAAGAGACAAGATGAGATCGGAACTCACCTTAAGGAATGGATTCAAAGAGGTCACTGCAAAGATTTGTGAAGGAGAAATTTCTTCAGAAGACTCACCGGAAAAGAATTTCCTCGATGATGGATAAAGACAGAAAGACAGAAGAAAGGCTCGAAGGTGCGGACCAGTGGTTTTATAGAGGGCCATCACATAAACCGAAGCGTCACAACGCATTAATAAAGCTTCAGTTTTCAAAATTCGAAGTTTGGATCTCCGTGCAAGCTGCCCTACTCCCCGCATCATTGCTTCGATCCGTCACATCAGTCATGCCGTCCCCTCGTTAACCTCACTCTCATAACTAAGAGAGAGGTTAAGGGGGCAGATGAGGGGGCATAAAATCCCATTGGGCCAAGTCCAGTCCGGCCCATCAGTCCAGAGGAAGGCCTAATGACCCTCCAGCCCGCTGACTCTCATTCAAGGCCTGTTCTGATCAAGAGCAAGGCCCGTTTTGATCAAGAGATTGGCCCAAGGAGTATGAAGCCCATATTATCCCAAGGGTTAGAAATAACCAAAGGAATTTTAGGGTAAGAATAAACTTCTATAAATAGAAGAAGGAAAGTAATTTAAAAGATTCGATTGAAGTGTAAAAAATAAACTTTCCTAATAGAGAGAGCAATTTCTTGCACATTCAGCCGTGGACCCTAATTAGTATTCTCTTGTAGCCCGATATATAAGGGCGCTTAGGGTTTGGAGTGTGATCATTAAGAGACATTGAAAATCGTACAGAGAGTGGGGCTGAAACTTGTAATCTCCAATTTTACACATCTTAAAAAAAAAAAAAAAAAAAAAAAAAAAAAAAAAAAACCCTCCAATTTAACGCATAGTGAACACTTTTGCTGGATCTCCGCGGTGGATGTAGGCTTTGCCGAACCACGTATAATAAATCTCTGTGTTCTTTGTGTGGTGTGTTTATTTTTCTGTCGCGTTTCGTAATTGTTGCTTAATTCACCGCGTTTGCTGTAACACAAACAAATTCTTTTTCCCAACTACTTGGAGTCGGCTACATAAATCTTATTTGTCCATTTTGCTCTATCTAAGGCCATGGCCTCGGTCAAACCACCTGTTAACATATCCTTCCTTAATAACTCTATTCACGTTCAACTCTGGTATTCCTAGTATTACCTTCAATATTGACTATGTTACTCTTCCTAATCAGTGCCGTTAAAGGTCTTCTGTGCATATGTCCAAACCATCTTAACGGTTAAATGATAGATTCTTCTTTAGGAAAGTTCTAATGTACATTGCCCTCTGGTTCCACACAAACCCACCCCCCCCCCCCCCCCCCCCCCACCAAATTTGGTGCCCTCATGATAAATTGTGTTTTAAAAAAAGTCATAATGTTACTGTTTCTTGTACAAAATATATGACAAAATGCTTCGGATAATCAGCTACACTGTTTGTGGAAGTTTTGAGATTCTCTTTATATTTAATATCAAAGGAATTTTATTTTGATATGTTGTGCACTGTTTACAGCGATTCCAGAAATGTGAATATGCTAAAACAAAGTTGTTTAAAACCGAGGGCCGTGGGTGGGGTCTTCTGGCTGATGAGAATATTAAGGTAATTACTTCAAGTCCATACCATTTTTAACATATACTCAATCAGCGTTGATCATTCCCAGATTAAAGAGTAGATATGGTGTTTCTCTCTGTAACCATATATTTGAGAGCATAGAATTGTATATATGGTATGTGTGCTGATGTCTTTCTCTGTTATTTTTATCTTTTAAGAATGCAGAGATTTGTTTCTGAGGAACACCATACCCTTGTTACTAAATTTTTGTTTTCCTGATAAGCAAGAACAAACCTTGTATTAGAACCTCTTGAGAGTGTCAAATGTTGATAAAATCTCTATGTCAAAATAGATAAATATTCCCTTACCAGAAAAAAACTATTTAAAATAAATATTTTGAAGTGTTCTTCGCATTGTCATATGGTCTCTAGTCGATTTATTAATCACCATATATTCTTTTCTATTTTTGAATGAACAGGCTGGACGGTTCATTATTGAATATTGTGGAGAAGTAATTACATCAGAAGAAGCGCAGCAAAGGTCCCAAACTTATGAAGCTCAAGGTAAAACATAGATCTATCAGATACACGTTGACATCACTGTTCCTGACAACCAATTCTCTACCTTCTCTGTGTGGCTGATGCAGGTCTCAAGGATGCATATATCATCTCTCTTAGTTCTAATTATTTTATTGATGCCACTAAAAAGGGAAGCCTTGCTAGATTTATAAACCATTCGTGGTAAGCCACTTACATCAGAGTATGAAAATGATGAAGAATGAGATATCACTGAACTATGAATGACACTAGTTTATCGAGTAATCCTGATTATCTTCAGCTGGGATTAATTTATTTTTTTGGAGTCTGCAGCCAACCAAATTGTGAGACAAGGAAATGGACGGTTTTGGGGGAAATAAGGGTTGGAATATTTGCGAAGCAAGATATTTGTGTCGGAACTGAATTGGCATATGATTACAATTTTGAATGGTATGGTGGTTCTAATGTTCGCTGTCTGTGTGGGGCGGTTAACTGTTCTAAATTTCTTGGTGCTAAGTCTTCTGGTTTCCTGGTGAGTTTACTATGTTAGAAGTATCTAATTGTATGTTTTTAAGAAGATAACAAAATTACATTTGACATGCATTCTCTTTATTGTATGCAAATTGTTACGGGTCTGTTGTGTATCTTAATGCGATATATTGAGTCAGAAATTGCATTAGATTCATGGATCATGTTGCTGTGAGCGAATTCTTGTGTAATTTGCTAGTTCATTTCTTCTTCTTATTTATTTATTTGGAAAATTCTGAACAATTTTTTGACCATGTGTAATAGACGTTAATTATCCACGTGTTGGAATCGTTAATTATCCACTTCATGCTTTGTTCCTCACTGCTTTGCTTATTATATAAATGCAAAAATTTAGATTTCAAAAGCTGGACGGTGGTGGTGCATGCTTTGCCCTTGCACTTGTGGTGCAGCGATTTGTTTATTGCATGGTTGATGCAAGCAAAATTGTAATCATAGTGAAAGACCCTGCCGCCCCAGGGGGGGGGGGGGGGGGGGGGTGTTGGTGGGGGGGTAGGGGAGAGAATTCCAGCGGCGATTCTCATTAGTGACGAGAGGTTGTGCTTTGGGGTTTTCTTTTCTGAGGAAAAAATACCGGAGTTGTTCCAATGACGGAGTGCCTCCATGGCAAAGACGTGAACACCTTAATCAAGGAGGACAATTGGTTGTGAATGCAACGTATGGGGGGAAAAGTCGAGGAAGGTGAGCAATCAGAGGGGCCATGGCTCAACTCAGGCGCTCTGGTTCTCTTTGTTCTTTTATCTAAAGTTCATTAAATGTCATCCTCAAGAGGAAGGGAGGGGGTTTTTTATTTTTATTTTTTGTGTTTGTCTTGTGGTTCCATGTTTTATTTATTAATATTAGTTTTAGTTTTATTGCTTTGATTCAGGAATATCTTCCCTCCCTTTGTTCTTTCATCTTAAGAGTCATTGAATGTCATCCTTTCATCAAAGTACAAATTGGGGCAACCCAACCCATTTATTAAAGTAGAACTGTGGCACATCTCGTGAGTGGCATACTGAAAGATACTGTGTCCTTTTGATACTCGAAATGCTTAGAGGCTTTATAGCATACCTTAACTGTTATGAAGTCCATATCAGAAGATTTAAAACAATCTTTCTTGAAATTAATGATACTTGTCTTCGGGATGTCTAGGAAAACAAAAGGTTAAGAGCTTAGATACAATACGTATCATGGTCCACTCTCCTTCAGAGCCTTTACTAATTTTTGATTCATCTAATTAATTGTTTTCCTGGTTAGTAAGTGTGTAAACAATGGTGTTCCTTTTTATTCATGGCTATATTGGTTACTTAGTTTCATACACTTCAAAATTCCTAGTAGAGCTCCACTTGAACTGCCATATTAGTTAACAGTGTTTCTTGAATGATCAACAAGCCAACATCCCTGGTCATGTCATTTTGGACTATTCAATCACCTCCAATAGTGATGGGATTTTTGGAACAGCCCATCTTTGTTTAATCCATGATTTTGAAGTCTGGGTCACACAGATTATCTTTTGGGCATTCATTTATTCATTTCCCCCCAATTTTTAAATAAATTTTGGATTGACAAGTGGATAGTTGCTAGTGTCAGACAGTGAAGGGGGTTCATGCTTGGTTGACACCTGAACCTCTTGGTTCATGGTTTATTGCTATACCAGAATGTTATTGCGCGAGGACTGATCTGGCTTATTAACCCATGAATCAGTGATCCAGCCCAAGGCACCTTTTGTTGTTTATAAAACCATATAAAATTTAACTGGAGAGACACTATTGACTGCTGAAGTTTTGCACAATTAATTTACCTTGAATTCAGTCAATTTGGGTGAGTATGCTTCCTCTTATTAAGAATTTTGGAATCTTCTATATAGTGAGACAAAGTGCGAAACAAACAGGTTCTTATTTACCAGCTTGCCTTTATTTTTCATTGTAATTTTAGAATGGTTTGAGTGGAGTCTCTGAGCCTCTCATTGCTTCCGTCTTGCAGTTGCAGGCTATTTTATCATCATTATTTAAATTTACTTAACTGCAATATGCTAGGCCGAGGACATTAACATGAGATGCTGACTTCTGTATGAAATAAAGAACTTGCAACTATTATTTATTTTCTATTTGATAGATGGGTAAATTACACTTGCCTCCCTTCTAGTTTGGGTTTATTACACTTACTTCCCCTATGTTTTGGAAAATTATGATTTCCTCCCTTTTAGGTACACGTGTGTACTAAAACAACCCCTGCCATCAGTTACATCGGTCAGAGATGGTAATATGTGACAAGTTTCTTAGCATCCTTTGACAAATATGCCTTTCAAATTGCTGTGAAGACACTTGGGTCCCATGTTGCTTGTGCGAAAAGACAATTGTAACCTACACTCTGTCTCTCTCTAATCTCCATTGCATACAGGTGTGTGTGTGTATATATATATTATGTATGTATATATGGGCTTGTTTATGTGAACATTCAAACGTTCTCTCTCTTTCTACAACCCTCAGATGCAACCTCTTCGTCCCTTCTCATAAAACCCTAATTGCCAAGCCAAACCCAGTTTCACTACCATTAAGTCTTTCACACCAGCAACAGTCGCTAACTGGAGATTCCTAGAGCAAACAAAGCAAAGAAAAGAAGGAAAGAATACTAGAGAGAGAAAAATAGAAATAGAGGAGAGCAGTCACTATTTGTTTCTCAGCTTTGTGCTCTTAGTTGCGATTGGATCCTATGTGATCTGTTCAGCGAATATTCGGAACTCACTGTTGCATTATTGACTAATCAGGGCTTTTTGATTCCCCAATTTAATCTCCTCACTCTCTCCTCTCTCTTAAATTTTGGTCACTTCAGTTTTTGTTTTTTCGTAGTTTGTTGATCAACTTGCCGACCCTCATTTGAAGCCCTAATTCGAGGTCTGCAATTTTAAAACCCGAATTTGATTTCTTCGATTTCAAAACCCTAATTTGATTTCTTCAATTTCAAAACCCTAATTTTTTGTGCCTACAACATGGAAGATCTAGCGATGCTGCAATCAACAGCCCCAAATTGCCCTGGGTGGCCAGAGTGTATCCTCATTAGGGACTTAGATTTGTTCGTGGTTACCATGCCGATAATATTTTTCAATTAAAATTATTTATATAATAATAAGGGCATAAGAGTAATTTCACATGTTCATTTTTTTTTTTTTTTTCGGAGGTAGTAATTTCACATGTCCTGTTAACAGTCATTAATGCCCATCACTTAGAACGGAGGTAATTTTAAATTTTCAAAACATAGGGGAGATAAGTGTAATAAACCCTAACTAGAGGGGAGGTAAGTGCAATTTACCCTTGATAAATATATATGTTGCAAATATTCCGTATTTGAATCAATGTTTTACCGTATGGTAAGGACCTATATTTGGTTGTCAATGTGTAACTGGATATATGGTTGTGTAATCTGTCTAACGCACAACCCTGTAGTGAGTAGAATGTGATGTGGTTGTGTTGCTATCTGCCATAGATATGAGGACAGGGAAGGCAGAAAAAGCGAAATAAGGCACCCCCTTCTTAGATTATTAGAATATGAATTTTAGGTTAAAAGAAGAAGTTTTGGGTTTTGGCTTACTCAAACTCAGAGCCAAGATCTATATTTATATACAAGAATAGGGTACAAAGAAAGGAAACCAAATTGAAGAAAGACATAAAATATGCCAAAATCTACGGGATCCCATGATTATGGGGATCTTATCTACGGGATCCCATAATTACAGGGATCTTATCTACGTGATCCCATGATTATAGGGATCTTACATAATACATCTAATAAAAGACTAAAAATAGCTAATAAAAATAAAAATAAAAATAATAAAGATATTTCAACACTCCCCCTTAAGCTGGAGTGAAGATATCAATCAAGCCTAGCTTGGTAATCGAGGAATGAAGCAAAGATGGACCAACAGATTTGGTGAACACATCGGCCGACTGATTAGAGGAACAAACAAAGCACGGCTTGATAATTCCCAAACAAACCTTCTCTCTGATAAAATGAATGTCCACCTCTATATGTTTAGTCCTCTCGTGAAGAACAGAATCTGAAGCAAGCATGATGGCTGACTTATTATCACAAAACAAGTCTGAGGACTATTTTTCACCTAGCCCTAGCTCCTCCAAGAAAGATCGAAGCCAGAGAATCTCACAAGTAGTGAGCCATGGCACGATACTCAGCCTTTGCTGAAGATCTCGAAATTACAGGTTGTTTATTACTTTTCCAGGATATAAGATGGTCTCCATAGAAAGTACAGAAGCCAGATGTGGAACGTCTGTCAGTCTTGGATCCAGCATAGCCTGCATCACTGAAACAGAATAGCCTAACTTGCTTGCTAGAAGAATAAAATAATCCAAGTCCAGGACAGGACTTACGATATCGAAGAATATGATATACTGCATCCATATGAGCTGTACGAGGAGCATGCATAAACTGGCTCACAACACTAACCGCAAAAGCCAAATCAGGACGTGTGTTGGTAAGATAAATCAATCTTCCTACTAAGCGCTGATACTGCGAGGGATCAGAAAGGAGATCTCCGGACTCAGTCGAGATATTTAGATTAGGATCCATAGGAGTGGAAGCAGGTTTACACCCAAGCATACCCGTGTCTCGAAGAAGATCCAAGACATACTTCCTTTGCAATAAGGAGATACCCTGCTTAGATCTAGCAACCTCAATTCCCAAGAAATATCTGAGCTGCCCAAGGTCTTTTCACATCAAAAGCTTTAGCCAATTGAAGCTTTACTTGAGCAATTCCAGGGATGTCATTGCCAGTAATGATGATATCATCAACATAGACAAGCAAAATGATACATCGACCATTGGAGGAATGGCGGATAAAACATGTATGGTCAGAATGACATTTAACAAACTCCATGGATAGATTTACATCACTAAAGCAGCTGAACCGAGCTCTGGGAGATTGTTTTAATCCATACAAAGACTTCCGCAATCGACAGACCTTTCTAGCATACTCCCCCTCAGCCCGTAAAT